CTCAGCCGCTAGTCGCAGTTCAAACTCAATTCTGTTACTCACTCGTAGATACGTACATATAAAAAGTCGCCGAAATACATATAAACATCTACGTGTATACACATATACATAAGGTCCGCCCCTAGTTTGCACTCGCGCCGTACATAATAAAGCACTGTTACTGTACTTGGACGCGCTAAGACGGTACGGTGGAACAAAAAATAATTGCGCTACAGTGGCACAAACTACGTTATACCCTGAAAGTTAAAACAAATAACTTACTTTTAAATCCAAATAAATTCGGCTCAAGGCTAATTTTAGCTGCTCGGCATTATTTAAATTTCGCTTTCCCAGTTATATCAGAATAATGTTGGTTAATTAACCTAAGCTCCAAGGTTTATGCCCCACACAATGGACAAGAAATCCACCTCGAACTCTGACTCAAGCCTTCAAGGCTTCATTTTTGAAAGCAACAGGCTTGAATATTTTAATTCGAAATGGTCTAGTACCCTTATAAGCGAGCACACTCAAACGCTCTTAAATGTCAAATTACAGCAACTTCACAGGCTGTAGGACGACCTCATAAGCTCATATTGATAGGGATGCAAATTTTCAGAGCCAACATCGATACATTATTATTTCGATGTATCGAAAACACTAACATCGATGCCGAAAAAAATCGTCCTAAAACTATCGATACATCGATATTTTCCGATGTTTCTATTTTTTAATAAGTATGTTACAGGTACGAAGCTGTTAACGTACGCCACCTTCCATAAGGTTTATTAATGGCGAAAACCGCTTTACCTGTAAAACATGCAAATCCTGAAATACCTGGAACTGACTTTATGCTTGTTAAAATTTCAATAAAATCCTATTGTCCATCTAAACTGCTACACTGTTAAAATTTGAATGGGTCGTTTTTTGAATTTAATTAGATTTGCTGTTTACGCGAAGATAATATTTACACTCACCTTAAGTCGTATTGAAATACTGTAACTACGTCATGGAAATCACCTATGTTCAACGTTGCCAATTGCTTTTATTAAGTGCAGGGCTGATATCACCCGTAATACGCTTACCCAAAGGGCTCTGTCCCACAGTCAGTACTATCACGCTATTTGGATCGCGATCCATATTGATGGATTGATGGATCGCGCACGAATGTGTATCATGTAGATCAATATTTATCGCGTCAGTATTTGCATAATTTTTTTGCTGAACGCTTATTATGACGCAAGAAAATATTTCTATTTTGTACGTATAATGTACAGATAATGCATTCCACAATTATTTTAAGATTTGTTCAATTTGTTTTGAAAGATTTTAAGCCCCGATAGTGAAGGCTGAGCCGATGTTTACATTATGAGAGTAAAAGATGTACTGAAGAAATGTATTGATTGCGTTTTGAAAGTGCTACACGTTCAATATTTATTGGCGGTATTGCGATCCGCGATCCAGATTTCAAAATTTTTAGAAATTTTGCGATATGGATCACGATCCATCAATACGGCATACTAAACCGTCAATAAATATCGCGATACTTGGATCATGTCAATAAATACTGACCGTGTGACAGAGCCTAAAGAATATAACATAAAGGTGTGAACGCAATGGCAATTTTGAACCGAAACTTAAGTCGATGTTTAAAACATCGTTAAAATTGACATCGATATATCGTCAATTTTACGTTGTTGAGTAATTTTCAAATATCGGTAAACATCGGTTTTTTGGACGATGTTATCGATGTTTCAGAACCATCGATGCATCGTTTGCATCCCTACATATAGAGCAGTATCCCGCTCTGAGTGCTTCACGGAATTTAGCGGATCCATAAAGCAAAAATATAATAAATGCTCAGAAAGTTACGAGAACTGTATGACGCAAATTATAGACGGCTTACAGCTTCTCGGGGCAAATTCCCAATCACAAATAAACACCATTCGCACCACAAATTCGAACTCCCAAGAAGTATTCCTCAAGCTACCACCGTGCGACACAGAAATTTTCCACGGTGGGTACGAAGACTGGTCGGCGTTCAGAGATGTGTTCACGGCAGTCTACAAAAATTACTACAAACTAACCCCAGCGCAGCCAACTGTACCATTTAAGGCAAAAAACCAGAAGTCAGGCAGGACAAATAATCAAAAAATACGATAATTTTGAACTAGCTTGGGACGCCTTAAAGTCACGGTACGAAAACCGCAGCTCTATTTAATATCCCCCATATGTATATAGAGAAAATGGTGAGCAAATCCAGAAAATTCCATCCACCATCAACAATTGCCTCTCCACCCTAGTAGTAGAAAGACTTAACATAGTAGAAAGACTTAACATATATCCCCACCCTAATTTCACCCCAAGAACGGGGACTCACAGGTTCACATTTATAAATAAAAATAGAACTCAAAATTTCCATGTCGATCTAAATCAGCCGATTTCATGCAAACTCTGCAACTCGAGGCACCCCATGAAGACATGTGTGAAATTTAAAGCACTATCCGTATCTGACCGTTTAAGATTCGTAAAAGAGAACAATTACTCCCATTTAAAGAGTGAGTGTACAAGTAGTTTCACTTGTGTATACTGTCAATGAAGACATGACTCTCTTTTACACTTCCCGCAAAAGACCCAGACCCCTCAACCGAACAACGAGTCAGCTATCGACTCAGACTAATACGGATACTGAAGCGCCCACTTTCTCAAAATATGTAACGCACCCACCCCCAGAGAAAAACGACGTAAATAAAGTGTCTCCTCCCAATGGCGATAGTACCTATCTACTGTGATGGCGAATATCACAATATTTGCGTTCTGGTGGATCAGGGTTCACAAAAAACGTTCGTATCATCCCGGATACAAAAACTCTTGCGCCTGCCTATGACAGATGCATGGTTAGAAATTTCTGGAATGGGTGGAATGGTGGTGCGAAACTGTTTCACCCCGAACAAAATAGATATGGTAATCGGCAGTGATCTAATCGCTCGAATTCTCTTACAAGGGCTACAACAAAGCATAAGCGGTAGTCTCATAGCGCAGAACACGATACTTGGGTCGATTCTGAGTGACCCAACCCAGGAAAGGATTTCAACCTTTACCACCCAGGTAACGGAACCCCATGATGAATCAATTGACGCCCTGCTGACGAAGTTTTGGGAACAGGAGGACCCGTTGAACCCCGTTCAAGTGAAGAGCAGTTCTGCGAGGATCTGTATCAACGCACAACAACCCGGAAGGCAGATGGACGATATATGGTGAACCTACCCATAAAATCCGAATTCCCAGACACCATGGCTCTAGGTCACTCTCGACAAGCAGCGCAGCAGCAGTACATTAGCATCGAAAGGACTCTGGAGAAAAAACCTGACCTCTGCGAAATGTACTCAGAAGTTCTAGAAGAAGTCATCAAAGACGGTAAATACTTCTCCTTTTATTTACCGCACCACGCTGTCGTAAAACCAGACAGCAAAACAACAAAGGTACGCGAAGTCTTTAATGCCTCCAGAATTCTTCCCTTCAAAACTACTTGATGCTCATCATTCTCCGATTGCGCCTCTATACAAGTCCGTTTTTAATGACAAGGAAGATCCGGACTTCCAAAAAATCTTCTTTCGTAGGTCCATAAATAAGCCCTTAGAGAATTTTAGGCTGAAAACTGTCATCTTCGGCGTCAATTGCGCTCCCTATCTTGCAATCCGTACGCTTTATCAGTTAGAGCAGGATTGTTAAGACGAATTGCCGCTCGCCAACAATATTCTCCTGCGTGAAACATACGTGGACGATATTCTCTCAGGCGGGCATAATATACAGTCCACTTCCACTATAAACTTTTTCCCCAAATGAAAGACGCCCTAAAATCTGCAGGCTTCCCACTACGAATAATCACCTCAAATCACCCAAAAATCCTGGAATCAGTCCCAGAAACCGAGGCCTTTGATGTAGGAATTCTCCAGTTTCAAGACACTAGCTCTACAAAAACTCTAGGCATAAAGTGGAACGCACTAACGGACTCCTTCTCCTACACATACGACCCTGTACCCGCTGCTAACTCAAGGGCAAAACGACAAATATTATCGGCGGTAGCGAAACTGTTTGACCCAGCAGGATGGCTAACGCCAATAATGATTTCCGCTAAAATGCTCCTTCAGACATTGTGGTTGGAAGGAGCCGAATGGGACGAGCATGTGCAATCCGGCGCTTTCCACAAATGGAACACTCTGCGCGACAATCTCCGCGCCATTAATAAAATTAGTATTCCCCGCTTGGTGCAATTCTCGCCTAAACAATGGGTACAAGTACATGCGTTCTCAGACGCCTCCGGAAAGGCATATTGTGCTTGCGTCTATCTGCGAGTGCAACATGACGAAGACTCCTTCTCGTCAAATCTGCTCGCAGCAAAAAGTAATAGCCCCTCTGCAAACTGTGAAGGTAGCAGGGAACAACAAATTTACCTTTGAAGAAGTTACCACTCTCCTCATTCGGATTGAAGCGGTGCTATACTCAAGGCCGTTTTCCCCCATGTCTCAGGATCCTACTGATCTGTTCGCTTTGACGCCAAGACACTTCTTGCGTGGTGCCCCACTTCTCTCTCTGCCCGAACCCCGCCCTGACCATCTCTCTTTAGTAAACAAATGGCAAAAATTTAAGGTTATTCATCAGCAATTTAGCACGCGCTGAAAAAATTAATATTTTAAGGAACTCCATAAAAGGCACAAGTGGAAGCGCCAAGAACCCAACCTTCAGGAGGGAGACCTCGTTGTCGCCAAAGAGGACCTTCTTCCTCCAAACGAGTGGAGACTAGGGCGCGTTGTGAAACTTCACCCCGGTCATGAACACAATGTTCGCATAGTTGATATTTACAACAACAATTACTCTAAATATTGCAAAGTTGTGTTTACTGCCCCCTCTGTAGTAACTCTCTTTACATACTTCATGCCTCATTAAACACTACTACCCCACACCTACACCTCCCAATAGCTGACGGAACTAATTCCGTCTTCGATGTTTTCTTCTTTCCACAGATGTCCATGAATACGATGGAGCTCAGCCAGTGCCGCCTCTGCTGCCGCCATCATCCGTTGCGTTTTTGCCGCGTATTTCAAGCAATGAGACCTGATGAGCGGTACGAGTCTGCGCGTATACAAGTTATCACGGGAAGCACAGTCAGGTTTTCCATTACCTGAAATTGTTGCGCGTGGCCTGACTCAGCAGGATCGGCACAACAAGTAGCGCAGACAGTCGAAAGAAAGTAAGCAAGTTTAAAGTTACATTCAAAAGTTGCCAGTGCCCTTAGTCAGCGCTTCTGTGTTCTCACGCTTGCTGTTACAAGACACCACAACTGCTATTCAACGGCTGCGTCGGCAGCGACAGCGTTTTGATAGCTTGAGAGTAGCTTAGTAATAATAACTTTTTGTGTTCAGTAATTAGTATTGTCTTTGGTCACTGGCGCAGACCTGGGTCGGTCATAATAAACTGTTAAAATATAAAAGGATTTATTTTATGTAACAAAGGAACAAATTTTCTATCGTACATAAGCATTGCGTCAATTGCTAGGCGACGTCGCATTCAGCCGGTTCCTGTAGCTCAGCCGACAGCTGTCACAGGTGCGGGAAGGCCCATCACACAATGCTGCATCGTCCAACATCATCGCCTCCGGAAAGCACTCGCCGTACTGACTCGCATGCACAAGTTCGCCATGGACGATCGACTCTAGCCAGCCGTGTGATTAAACTAGCCGCAAAGCAAGCTCACAGCGGCAATACCCAAAGCCCAAACGAAGGGCTAGTGCAACTACAGTAAATCACGAGAAGACGAAGTGACGTCAACTGTCAACTGAGAGCAGAAGGAGAATAGCTAATTAAATATTGCAGACCGGAAATTGCAGCTACCAGAAAAAACGAAAAACCATGAAATTAATGTAAGTTGGGAGACTCAGTTTTCTGTTTGAATTAATAAATTTTTAAGTGAATATTTAAATTACAACAAATTGATTTTCTGAGTGAATATTTAAAGTAAGGCAAGTGCTTTTTAAATGAATATTTAGGACAAAATTTTCGAAGTAAAATTTTTGAATAAAAACGAGCAAATTTTTTAGTGGATATTTAAATTGATAAAAATTATTTATTTGTTGCCCGGTATATGAACGGCCCGACGGTAGACCTAACTGACCTAATTTCTAACTTCGAAAGTATTGACCTAACAGAACAAATGGAAATTAAAATGAACGAAGCACAGCTCAAGAAAGTAGTAAACACGGCCGTCTTCGCCGCGTTAGGAATGCAGAGACGAGAGTTTGAGGATAAACTTAAGGTCATGCAAGACCAAATAGTGTATTTATCTCAAAAGCCAATAGTAACGAAATATGAAAAAATTAGGATTATATCAGGCCGAACCTGCGAGGAATCGCTGGACGTGTTAAAAACATTGCCCGAATTTTCAGGACAACCCGACTATTATGTGTCCTGGCGTGAGGCGGCACATAACGCATACAAAATTTTCAAAGGCTTCGATGGTAGCTCATGGCACTATCAAGCCGTTATCATTATACGGAAAAAAATCCGCGGTACTGCCGATGCGCTCTTGTCATCGTTTAGCAGAGTCCTAAATTTTGACGCCATTATAGCGCGTCTGGACTTCACGTACTCCGATAAGCGACCGATATATTTAGTGGAGCAAGAGTTATCCACATTAAGGCAGGGCTCTTCCAGTGTCCTGGAATTTTGCGACGAGGTCGAGAAAAACTGTCCTTACTTGCCAATAAAACAAAAATGTCCCACGAAGCGAACATTGCAGATGCAATTAATAAAAAATATCGGGAAAATGCTCTTAGGGTGTTTATTTCTGGGCTCAGGAGGCTACTGATCTGCCGTCCGCGTTGGCACTCGCTCAGGAGGTCGATGCAAATCACGTATGGTATATTTTCGCGGCCAGTTTCCCAAATAGGTGGACCGACGTCACAAAAAAATCAGAAAACAGCCAAAGGGGTAACAGGGACAACAATAGTCAGAACACGTACAATAGGGCAAACCCTGATAACCAAAAAAATCCTCATTTCGTGACGCAATATAGGAGTAATCGCCAAACAAATTCTAGTCAGCATCGGTAGGGGGAAAATCGGGCCTCACAGCCTCAGCAGCAACCGATGGATGTAGAGCCCTCGTCATCTCGCCTACGGCAAATTACAAATTCTGCAGGAAATGAACAATTTCAGAAGCGCCAGGCGTCCTCCGACCGACGTACGTGACCCAAACTCCAAAGAGTGAATCATTTGAGCCAAACTCACGATAAAGAGTCTTGCTCAGAGTCATATGAAGATTTGTCTGAGCCAATTGTTGAGGACCTAGAAGCAGAGGAAGTGAATTTTTTAGGGGAAGATCTCTCCTGCCCTGGATTTCTTGTCGACACGGGAGCCTCCAAGAATTACATCTGACCTCTAGAGGGCCTAAAGGGGGTTAAGCCTGTCGATAAAAAATTTACAGTGAAATTCATACATGGATTCACAAATATTATAAACAAATGCAAGGTGCACTTATTTGGAGTTGTAACAGAGTTCTTCATTTTGCCAGATCTAACTCTGTTTGATGGGATCGTAGGCCTAGACCTACTTAATAAGGTTCACGCGAATATCAATTTAAAAAAAGACATTATAGAATACGACTCTGGTAAGGAAAAAATTCAAATGGTGGTGAAATAAGAGACCTCCTGCAAAATGGCACTATACGACGTTCACGATCACCCTATAACAATCCCATTTGGGTAGTGGACAAAAAAGGCCTCGATGAAAACGGGATAAAAAAGAAAAGATTAGTAATTGACTTCCGTAAACTGAACGGAAAAACAATAGAGGACTCATACCCCATCCCAAATGTAGGGGTAATACTATCAAACTTGGGCAAGGCCCAACTTTTTACAGCCCTGGAGTTTTCAGTGTGTAATGGCAAGTACGAATTCTGCCGTCTTCCCTTTGGTCTGAAGAATGCTCCGGGTATTTTTCAGAGGGCGATTTACGACGTCCTTAGGGAACATATTGGCAGATACTGTTTTGTTTAAATTGACGATGTAATAATTTTCTCACAAGACAAGGAAGCCCATTTGAAACATGGAGAGGTTGTTCTGAAATGCTTGCTTGAAACAAACATGAGGGTCTCAGTAGAAAAAGCTAAATTTTTCAAGACAGAACTCGAGTACCTTGGCTTTCAAATTTCGAAAGGAGGAATAAAAACCAGCCCTCAAAAAATCGAAGCAATTCAAAATTTCCCGCAACCAACAACATTAAGGGACGTTCGGTCTTTTTTAGGAATGACAGGTTACTATATATGCTTCATCCGCGACTATGCAAAAATTGCAAAACCTCCAACCAATATCCTAAGAGGCGAATTTGGAAAGGTATCTGCCTCTCAATCAAAGAAAATTAAAATTTTATTCGACAAAGACCAAACTAACGCATTTATTAAATTAAGGAATATACTTGCGTCAGAAGATGTCATGCTAGCCTATCCAGACTTTCGACCTAACTACTGACGTTTCTTCACACGCCCTTGGCGCGGTTCTCTCTCAGGAAGGGAGACCTATTACGATGATTTCAAGGACACTCGATAAAAAAGAGGAGCATTCTGCCACGAATGATCGGGACTCTTGGCCATTGTATAGGCTCTTAAAACGCTTACACATTATTTGTATGGTGTTAGGGAGTTGAACATTTATACCGATCATCAACCCCTAACCTTTGCGGTACCTGATCGCAACCCAAACCCAAAAATAAAAAGGTGGAAGGCTTTTATCGAAGCATATAATGCAAAACTTCACTATAAGCCAGGGAAAGACAATTTAGTAGCCGATGCTTTATCACGCCAATTTATAAATTCCTTAGGCCCTGAACATGAATCAGATGCCGCCACTATTCACAGCGAGCAATCGCTCACCTATACGGTGGAAACAGTCTCTAAACCAGTAAACGTCTATAGGAATCAATTAATTTTGGAATCACGCCAACACCCGTTCAAGAGAACATTTGTCATTTTCGGAAACAAATTACGTCACTTTCTTACATTTCCTGATAGCGAAACTTTGTTCAAAATGCTACTAGAAGTAGTAAAATCTGACGTAGTCAATGGTATTCATTGCGAGCTACCTTTGCTAGCACAGATTCAGCATTGGCTGGTAAACACGTTCCCAAACACCACATTCCGCCACATAAATAAATTTGTTACAGACATTTTTGATCCTAACGAACTAATGGAAATAATTGCACAGGGCATAATAGAGCTCATCGTGCTTCCCAGGAAAATGTCAAGCAAATACTGCATGACTATTTTTTTCCAAGAATGGAGAAAAAAGCTAGGGAAGTAGCAGCAAATTGTAAAATCTGTGTAAAGGCTAAATACGTTAGGCACCCAGTGAAGCATCCCATAGGAAAAACACCTGTTCCCATATTTCCCGGGGAAATCCTTCATGTCGAAATTTTTTCGACCAATGCTACCTACTTCCTTACTTGCGTGGGCAAGCTGTCAAAATTTGCGGTAGTGCAACCCATTCCCTCACGAACCATAATCGATATTAAACCACGCGTTTTGCAAATGGTCAACCTGTTCACAGGAACTAGAACTATTTTCTGCGATAATGAAAAATCGCTTAATTCAAATACAATAAAATCTTGTGTCAGAGATCTCTTTAACATCGAAATCGTAAATTCTCCGCCCCTGCATAGTACTTCTAATGGGTAGGTTGAGAGATTTCACAGCACCATAGAAGAAATTGCTAGGTGTCTGAAACTGGAAAAAGGAATTGAGGACACTACGGACCTAATTTTACTTGCCACAATTGAATATACTGTAACAGGCGAGAAACCTTAAGATATCTTCCATTCGTGGGTAGGTGGGACCGGAGCCAAGAAAAAAGTAGAAAAAGCGCAGGAAGCAACACTAAAAACCCATAACAAAAACAGAATAGCAAGAACATTTGCGGTGGAAGAAATGGTGCATATTAAGTCAAATAAACGTCTAGGAAATAACCTCACTCCCTTGCATGTAGAAGGCATAGTTCAGGAGGACCTGGGTTCCACGGTCAGGATTAGCGGTAGGATAGTTCACAAGGATAATCTTCGTTAGCTAAAGCAAGAGAACAATTTTTAACTGTAAGTCCTAAATATATTTTCCTTTACATCTGTCTTTCTTTCTCTTTTTCCTTTTTCTCCCTTTTTATTTTCCTTTCTTTAGCACTCTGACCCTTAAGCTTTTCATGACCTCGCCTTCGACAGACGGCAAAATTGTGGACTACTCACACTCAGACTACTTACCGATTGCAGACGGCGATGTAGTTTTAGGGAACTCATATGGTTACATTAGACATACGACAATCCTGTCGGCCTACGCAGAATTGACCATTGACACCCGCTCTGCACTACGAGTGTACCCACATAGTCACATGACGAAACTGATGATGGCGGACTTGGAACGAATCGAAAAGCTTCTCCGAACAGTAATTGGACCAACAAGACACCAACGTAGCCTGAACTTCTTGGGAACTGCTCTCAAGGTCGTAGCAGGCACGCCGGACTTCGACGACTTTCAAAAGGTGGCGATAGAACTTGATAAAGTTAGGGAAAATAACAATCAGCAGGTAGAAATAAACTCAAAATTTCAGGAACAAGTTACCGATTTAACTAATACGGTAAATGAAATTTTAAAGGCAGAAAAACGGGAACAAATAGATACCGGGAACCTTTATGAAATTCTTTCGGCCAGAAATAGGGCTGTGATTACAGACCTAGATAATATTATGATATCAATCGCTCTAGCACAACTAGGTTTACTAAATCCAATTATTTTTGATAACGCTGAAATTGATTCAAGCCTGAAGACCGAGTCTCTCCACAATTTAACTGTAACTGATTTACTGTTAGTTTCTAGGTTTTAAGTTTACCATGACAATAACCTCCTTCATTTCTTAGTTAAGTATCCTGGACCTAAGATTATTTGTAAAAGAAAAATTATTTTACCTATAGCGCACAACAACAAAATGCTATCACAACGAAACTACGCTGTAGCAGTTTGTGGTAAAGACATATATTCCTTAGACGACTGTGCAGGAACAGCTATGAAATTTTGCAGAAAATCGAACATCTCGACTTGCGCTCAACAATTAATAGCCAGCACCACAGCAAATTGCACAACCACATTTGGCGAACTAGATCCTGTTCAAGAGGTTGATAATGGCATGGTCGTTATAAACGATCGCACCGCCACAGTAATATCTAATAATGAAACTATATCGCTGAAAAGGGGTACTTACCTGGTGACGTTTTTAGACAAGGCTAGCGTGAATGAAACGACCTTTGTCAATCGAAATGCCCTTCAGATAAAAGTAGCAGAGATCCCACTCAGATAAACATAACCGGACACGATGACATAATGAGCCTACCTTACTTGCGACATCGGGCACTAGAAAACCGCCAGCTGATGGAGCAACTAAATGATGGTTATAAGACAGGATTGACAGCAACATCACTAATCATACTGGCCATCATCGGCGTGCTGCTTCTCATGATTACTTTCCCTAGAAAGCAAAATATACAAGCTCCAATAGTAAGAGTAGTAGAAAACATCACGCAAGCGTCAACTAGAAGGTCCGAGGACGTCCCTCGCTTAGGAGGGGAAGAGTTATCACGGGAAGCACAGTCAGGTTTGCCATTACCTGAAATTTTTGCGCGTGGCCTGACTCAGCAGGATCGTCACAACAAATAGCGCAGACAGTCGAAAGAATGTAAGCAAGTTTAAAGTTACATTCAAAAGTTGCCAGTGCCCTTAGTCAGCGCTTCTGTGTTCTCACGCTTGCTGTTACAAGACACCACAACTGCTATTCAACGGCTGCTTCGGCAGCGACAGCGTTTTGATAGCTTGAGAGTAGCTTAGTAATAATAACTTTTTGTATTCAGTAATTAGTATTGTCTTTGGTACTCACCTGCGCAGACCTGGGTCAGTCATAATAAACTGCTAGAATGTAAAAGGATTTATTTTATTTAACAAAGGAACAAATTTTCTATCTTACATAAGTACTGCGTCAATTGCTTGGCGACGTCGCATTCAACCGGTTCCTGCAGCTCAGCCGACAGCTGTCACAGGTGCGGGAGGGCGCATCACACAATGCTGCATCGTCCAACATCATCGCCTCCGGAAAGCACTCGCCGTACTGACTCGCATGCACAAGTTCGCCGTGGACGATCGACTCTAGCCAGCCGTGTGATTAAACTAGCCGCAAAGCAAGCTCACAGCGGCAATACTGCGGCCCAACGGCGCATCTGAGATTTATTCAACCGGGCGGTGCTGACCCTCGAGAAGTTGCAAGAGTTGTTCAACCTGGCACCGGAGCAGGCGGACCGGCATGTTGCGGACATGAGTCCCAACTTAATCGAATTCGAGTAGGAACTTTGTAAATTATTCAATTAATGTTTTTTCTATAATTCGCGTGCTGCTGGCAGCGCCACTTACTGTAAACCATGTGAATTAGTCATGTGAAATGGGTTTCATGTTGTAATTGTAAGCGGGGCCACGGTGTGACTTGTTCCTGCAAACAAATTGCTAAAATTATTAACGTTTTACACGCCGTCGCAGTCCCATCGCATCGGTTTGCATGTTTTCCATAGAACACCACTCGGGCGAACTTTGTCACTCTCTTAACTACATCGCTATTAAATATCGTTTTGAAAGTTGATTCAAGTCAATAAAAACATTCCTGAATTCGTTACCATAATTAAAATTCCCCGTCTTTTCATTTCAACGGAAAATAGATTCTCTGGCGCACCCTGCGCTCTCTTTTGCTACCCCAAAAACAACAATGATGTATCTTAAATATGTAAATCTTATTTATTTAAATATGAATACACATTTTAAAATGAGTTCAGGAAAGAAGCTTTGATAATCTAGCCCCCAAAAGCCTGCTTCTATCCTGAATGATGGTTGCACCAGCTTCCAAAAATAAGCACCCGCTTGCCACTGGTCGTTCGGCATAATAGGAACGGAGTGAATAAACGATGTCGATGTTTTTCACTTTTCTAGTCGATGTATCGACGATGTATCGTCCAGCGAAACATCGATGTTAACATCAATATTTTTGGACGAAACATTGATGGTATGAAAACATGGATGCATCGCTTGCATTCCTAAGCGACATAGTTCACCCAATCAATAGATTAATAATAATAGATTGGCGCTTACACATATGTTAGTGTTTGGCCGAGCTTATTCTCCGATTTCTGGCGTGCGCCTTGATGAGACCTTTTTTCTACATTTTTTTGCGATGTTGATGCAATCAAACGTAATTATTTCCCACTACGATTCAAAGTTGCCGATCACGTTAGCTGTGTAGGCTAGCCCAAACGTGGTAGGTGCGGTCCTTAGCCACATATTTGAAGATGACACTTAAAGACTGATTCAGTTCGCGTCATGGACTTTAAGCAAAGTACAACAACGCTATTCGCAGCTCGGAATACGGAAGTTTTACCAATGCCTATATGGAAAACAATTTACGCTCGTTTCATATAATCGGGCTATATTACATATATTTGCACCTGGCAGAGGCATTTCGATAAATTCAGCAACTCGTATGCAGCATTACGCGAGCTACGAACAGTTTTACTACAAAATCAAATGCAAGCGTTCGAAGGAGAATGAGAAGGCAGATGCTCTTTCGCGGTTCCCAAATGCAGCTACATACAAACAGGAGGTAGTTTACGTGGTTGAAGAAGAGTTGTTCGAAAATTTGCCGGTAACGGTAGCGGAACTTCAGCCTGAAACGAAAGCGGACGATGACAGGAAGTGCGAGACAAAAGATCGATTTGGTATCGAACAACACGAATCTACTTAACATAACGATTGTATACTGAGGGGAGTGTACGTATAATAATATAATAGACTGGCGCTTACACACATGTTAGTGTTTGGCCGAGCTTCTCCCACAGTTTGTGGCGCGCGCCTTGATGTTGTCACACAAAGGGGAGGGACCTGCAATTTTACGCCGGCTCCGAACGGCGATTGTATTTTTATGTGAAACTTTTTTGTTTTTTATTTATTTTTTGTTGGCTTGAACCGGGCTTGAGCCCAGGTCCTGCGGAGTGGTAGCGCGTACTGCTAACCACTGCAGCAAAGCGGCCGCCACACAGTGTGCGTATACATTCCAAATAATCTACGACAGAGAGTACTGGACGAATTGCACACGGCTCATTTCGGTGTGGTCAGAATGAAATGTTTGGCCAGTGTCTACGTATGGTGGTACAAAATGCATAAGAACATCGAGAATGTGGTGCAAAAGTCACCAGACCAGACCCTAAAAGAACAATGCCAGTACACAGTTGGAAAACACCCGGAAAAGTTTTTGAACGAGTACACATAGATTATGCCGGTCCGGTATGGGTAAATATTTGTTTATTTTAATTTTGTTTATACCCTAACCATCCTTGGGATGTGTGCGGCAAGTGTGTGAAATTAAAAAAAAAAACGGCCGTTCTTGAGCTTTGCGAACACAAAACAGGCTTTCAAAATATATATGTATTATAGATAGATAGATATTTAACAAAACAAAACAAAACAAAATTCAACAAAATTCAACTTTGTAAAAGCCAAAAAAATTTGCCTTTACCGCACTTGCTAATTTATCAACTTACGAAAACAATGTGCCGAATTCCCATGAACACCAACAAATAGACATACATATCAGAGGGCTGCATGAATGCATTCAAAACGGCTTATGAATTATTCATATACAAAACGAATGAATGATTTTGGCTTCAAATTTTTTTGATTTTGAGTGAATAACTGATCGATATTTGTGTCGGCATTACAATATTCAAACAAAGTGTAAATAAATTTAATTGAAATAAATGACAATTTTTTATATGAATATCCAAAAATATTTTTTCTATGCACATATGTACAAACTAGAGGGCTGCATGAATTCATTCAAACTTCTAGCCAAACAGAGTACAGTAGATTTGAATATTTTATTTCACATACAAAACACTCAGCGTTTGGAATTTTGTAAGTTATGAATATACATTTTGTTTTATATTTTCTACCTTCAAATGGAAGAATGTGAATGAATGAATAGAAAACATTCAAATCATTCAAACTCATTTCGGTAAAAGTTTTCTCTACAAACAAGTTTTTTCGTATATAAAAGGAGCACAGCAATACATACAAACATACATATGTATGTTTGCACATATGTGCATAGAAAAAATATTTTTGGATATTCATACAAAAAATTGACATTTATTTCAATTTAATTTATTTTCACTTTGTTTGAATATTGTAATGTCGACACAAATATCAGAACAGCTATTCACTCAAATTCAAAAAAATTTGAAGCCAAAATCATTCATTCGTTTTGTATATGAATAATTCATAAGCCGTTTTGAATGCATTCATGCAGCCCTCTAGTACAAACATACATATGTATGTATTGCTGCGCTCCTTGTTTGTAGAAAAAAACTTTTACCGAAATGAGTTTGGATGATTTGAATGTTTTCTATTCATTCATTCCCATTATTCCATTTGAAGGTAGAAAATATAAACAAAATGTATATTCATAACTTACAAAATTCCAAACGCTGAGTGTTTTGTATGTGCAGTAAAATATTCAAATCTACTGTACTGTTTGGCTAGAAGTTTGAATGAATGCATGCAGCCCTCTAATATATATCGACGGTCCTCTGCAATAACGACACAACTAAAAATTCCATGTTTTTGAGTTATATGTATAGCGGATTAGGTTTAGAAACATATATGTATACTGCTAGTACAATACGATCGCAATGAGTTTTCAATTCGAAATCAAAGAAAGAAAGCCTGTGAAAACTTTTGTGATTGTAGAAGTATACGTTTATACCCAACGGGGCCAGAAGCGCTCAATTAGTTCTATTGGAGCGCTCTATATTCAGTAGTAAGCGCTCCCTTCCTAAATNAAAATTTTGGAAAATGGGAGTGGCACCGCCCACTTATGATCACATATAAATATACNAGCGCTCCCTTGCTGCGCCCAAAGAAGCCCTTGGTGAGCGCTTCAACTAAAGCATTTAAAAAGCGATGCATGCAAATTTAAATTTTTATATTATATTTTTGTTTTAATAAACAATGGCGTTTTTAATGGTTTTATTAAGTGTACTTATAAACATGTTGTTTTTTTCTTTTCTATGTGGTATATATACGAAAATACATACATACATACATACATGTTTGCACATAAATTAACTTTTTTTTAAAAGAAAATATTTTTTGTTACTACTTAAGATGATATTTATCTCTGAGCATTGTTGGAAATTTAAAAATTTATTTTTTACTTTGCTTTTGTACTGCTCCTTTGGGTAGGAGCAGCCCCGTTGGGTATTTGTAAAGTACTACATAGAATGAAGTGCCATATAGTAACAGGGGCAGTTCAGGGAATGCAACAAATAAACATAAGTTGCGTTCCAGGTGTTCACGATATTCACGATTTGCAGGTTTTTTTTTGCAGGAAAGCGTTCCAGGTGCCAAAAAAACTGTAGGTCAAACCACTTTTGTGAGAGTAACTTGCTCTCTCTCTCCCAGTCAGAAGGTGCAGGTTTTAGTCCGAAGTGTTTCTTCCTGCAAGTTCATGAAAAGTGTCAAACGATAGGCAGGGTTGCATTTGTAAACAAAAACAGAACCGTAAGCGCCACGGAGGCTATTAAATAAATACGTCAAGCATTTCATATGTGTGAGGTTGCCTCGTGTCTTGCACGCAAACG